GGGCGTCGAGTCAAAGATCGCGGCTATGATCTCCTTTCCCTCTGGCGTGTGCGTGCTCTCAGTATCCAGTTTGAAGCTTGTTTCCTGAGCGTGCCCTGCCAGGCATAAGTCCAGCCGGAGCAGGAGGGGATCGTGGTCGACCCCAGAGTGGAGATCGAGAATGGGTCGTGCCCCCAAGACTGTAGCTGCTGCGTGCCACATATCCGGGTAGAGGATGAAGTCAAGGCAAAAAGTCTTCCCCTGGGGGGAGGTCCAGGTGACAATGGGCGTCCCGTCTGGAGTGCAGGTACCCGACGAGCACAGTGAATGCTGCTTGGATACCACTTCCATGTGGCACGCGTTGGCATTGTCCGGCGCTCCGCCATTCCAGTGAGCATTGGCATCGACACCTACGATTGGCACACAACCCCTGGGGGCTTGGCGCAGTACTTGATCGAGCGCCGTCCACCGTTCTTGGATGTCTGCCTCGGTGGAGGCACTCGTTCTCGCGTGGCCCGAGACCAGTAGCAACGGCTGCCCATGCACTTTAGCTTTGACAACAAGGAGGCGCGGGTGGCTATGCAGGATAGCGAATGACTTTACATCCCAGGCCCCTGGCTGTTTGGCCACATTGACCCAGATCTGACACCCTAGTTGTCCTTGGACTGCCTGGCTGGCAAAGCGGTGCACTCCTTCTATGATGCGAACTGGCTCGGGTGTCTCCCTGGCCTCTTGGAGGGCCAACACATCAATTTGCTGGCCTTTGACAAAGGCCTGAAGGCTATGCCGTTGGAGGCACGTTTTTGCGGACAAGGTATTGTAGGTGCCTAGGAGAAGGCGTAGGGGCTTGCTGCGGCAGTGCTTTGTCCGCGTTGGCATCGCCCAATCTTTGGGCTTCTCTGCTGGAGCCATGGTGGTCCCTGGGCGCGCCGGGTCTGTGCCACCATTCTCATCAAGAACTGGCCAGTGGGGGCCGTGCTGGCTGGCATGCGGCAACCAGAGCCAGTCGAGGACACCTTCCTGAACTACGGATGCAATGTGAGCCTGGAGCTCAAGTGACGACGGCCCATGTTGCTGAGCCCACGCTGCTAAGGAGTCCGCTAGTTCATTGCCGGGGTGACCGCTGTGATTTGACATGGGCTAGGGTCGGCGCCCGCGAGCGTACCATTAGGTAGCAACGGATGGAGGCTGCTGCCCTTTGTAGGTGGCCCCAGTGCTGGCAAGCTGCTTCTGAAGACGCGACCTGAGCTGCTGCCGTGGCATCGAAGATAACTGCTGAGTTCCGCCAGGGCATAGCTGCCACGATCAGGTGTGCAACTAGTTGGGCATACACCTCGGCCTGGTAAGCACTATTGGGATGCTCCGGCTCAGATGCCGTGAGTCCCGAGGCGAAACCACCCCAGTACCATGCGCCTTGGCTCTCTACTGCAACCGCTACCGCCCAGGCACCTCGGCTGAGTTTTGGGTCAAAGGAGCCATCGACAAACAGCATGGCATGGTCCCCGCTTTCGTGGTGCGGCAGTGGCTCCAATGAGTCGAAAAGCTGCTTGGCCTGGGGGTGCAAGGTGATTCCAGAGCCGCATTTTTCCAGATTGGCGACTCGGAAAGGTTGCAGCACGTGTTCTTGCACATCCTGATTGACCGCGAAGCGCAGGCAGCACTCAGGATTGGCCGCAGTCGCGCTGGAGTTCGGGCAATGCGGGCTCTTAAGTTGGTTAGTGCCTAGGCTAAGGCCGGTCGGCTGCTGTGGTATGAGATCTGCCAGGGCCAGCGCTGGCGTACCTCGGCTGGTTTGTTGCCGGCTCTCAGTACCCTTGACGCTTGACCTTTGAGCCTCCGATTGCAGTGCCGGGTTAGCCTCCGGCTGGAGTGGGACATGCCGCCGCCCCAGCGGTGTGGGTACACTGCTAAGGTGCCTAGCGTTTGGCGCCTCGTGCCACTTGGGCTGCTTGGCCCTGGCCTCTGCCTGCACAGCTGTTTCTGCTTCGGGGCAAAGGGCGGTAACAGCATCATCCAGCTGTGCGTGCAAGCGCATGGTGGCTGCGCTGAGTTCTTCGCGATGCCGTGGGCAGCTCAGAACACCTTGGATGCATTTGCACCTTGGGTCTTCTTGTTCCAGCCTGCTTCTCTCACACCTAGCCTGCTGACGTAGGCGATCGGTGTGGACCTGTGCGAACGAGGTTCCCGAGGCCGGGCGCCTTGGCGGCGCTGCTGCACTGCGGTGCGTAACGGCAGCACCATGTCGCAAGGCTGCAGGTTGCTCAAGTACAAAGCCTCTTCTCGTGGGCAGAGTGAGAGCGGAGAGGCCGGCATCTGGCGGGAGCCATATAAGATGGTAGCCCATCCAGAAAGTGGGCGTGGGGAAAAAGATGCCCATGTTGACCATGCCCCTTGGGATTGACAGGAAGAGCGGTGCATGCTGGTGCGTCAGCTCGCAGGAGTCTGCAAAGGTTGTTCCTTCTTCGAACAGCCCTGTGGCGGTGAGTGCCTCTTCGACTTCTTGAAGAACCGGGCAGATGCGGCCTGGAACGAAGAGAAGGGCGGGCGCATGTGCAGCGCCTTGCACTACAACTGCCTGTGTATCCGCAGCCGGCTGTCCCATGACCTGGCGCCTGTCGGTCATCCTTTGGCGCAGATAGCGAAGGAAAGCGTCCCTGACTAATGTTTGCACCGTAGGGTCTAGTGGAGTAGCCGTAGCCCTTTGCAATCTCGGGATTTCTACGGGGAAAGCAAACAGACGCAGGTCAGGGTAGAGTTCATAGAACCAATCTGTAGGCGCAACCCTATGATCCCGGGGCCGCTGCACTACCTGGGTGTAGTCTCCATTGTAAAGCACGCGCCTGCTGGCAGCCCGCGGGCAGCCATTGACAGTGGCGATGTAACCTTCCCTGGCCTGTGCTGCCGCCACGAGCTCTTCTGGCCTAGAGTTAGGGTCAATGGAGATTGACTGAGCCATTGAGCCGTCCGCCGACGGATCCAGAATGACATGCCTCCGGTGGTCCTCCGGGAAAAGGAGGAAGAGGATAGTGACATGCTTCCTTGTGAGCGGATGCGGCTGTGCTGCGGTGAGGACGATTCGCGTCCTGGGCGGCAGGGCTCTTTGTCTAGCCAGGGCCATGACAAGGTCTGCAATAGAGTCAGGTACACTGACCTGGGAGACATGCTGTGGGTGCAACCTGATGGTGATACCCAGCCCAGCCATGACAAACGATACGTGCTCAACAACCGAATGCCCCACCCACGTAGAGGTAGTGGTGCTGCTGGCTGCCGTCCGCACTGCATGCGCGCTCGGCGCGAAAAAGTCCTGTTCTGTGACCAAGGCGTCCAGCGGCTGTTGTCCCGAAATGCGCAGCCACTGCAGTTGGGATAAATCTGCCGGTAGCTCGTACCAGACCTGACCTCGGGCGTCGACCAGAAAAAGGTCTCTGCCATCTTGTGCGGGAGGCAAGAAGACTGGGCCTGCCGGGCAAGTCTGGAGCGCTTGCTGGATGACATCCTGGGACGGAGCCCCTGCCGTAAGCAGTAGGGTGCAAGGCCGTCCACCGAATGGCCGCATGTCTATTGGCACACAGAGCTGCTGTTGTGTGGCAGTGGCTGGGGTCAGCACAATTTGCGGCGTGGCGACTCCGGGTAGATGGAGCTCCAAAACCTGCGCCGCCTTGGTCCCTTCGCTGCAGGACCTGATGGCCTCAGAGACAAGGTCGCTGATGGACCAGGACTGGGCAGCTAGCCTGTGGACATGGTGCCTCTGCCTGTCAAAAACCGAGTACCGCATGGCCTGCCTTTCCTGACCTGGGTCCAAGGCAAAGAGACCGAGTTGGTCTACTGGGATTTCGGCCACCGGGTACCTGGAAAGGTGCTCTGGCATGATGTCAATGCGGCACAGCCCGAATTTGCTGATATCAGAAGGCCTGGCTGGCCCAATTTTGCCAAGGAGCCCTGGCGGCTCCGCAGGATGCTGTTTGCAGCCGGCGCTGAGGCCAACAATGGTGCCTGCTTCTTTGCATAGAGCCTGCCTCTAAGTCTGACTGGACTCCATCTCGCGTAGAAGGACCGGGTGTGGTGCAAGCTCCGAGTGGCTGCACACACTGCGAATGGGCCTCAACGGGTGATCGGCTGAAAGCGGGCGAGGATGGACCGGGTGTGGTGCAAGCTCCGAGTGGCTGCACACACTGCGACTGGGCTGCAACAGGTAGTTTGCTGGGTGCCGGCGTGGAAGGACCGGATGTGGTGCAAGCTCCGATTGGCTGCACACACTGCGACCGGGCCTCAAGTGCTTGTGGAACCTGTGCCAGCCTGTTAAAGCCTCGCCTGCCTAGGTTGCAAAAGGACAGAGGTTGGTCTTGAAAGTGTACTGTAAATGGCAGGAGATGCCTGCAAGGATGCAGGGCACTCTGCTTCGAAACAACTGTACAGTTCTTAGGTACTTTGACATCACGTCTCACCCCTGTACAGGTTTCACTCATAGGCTCTCCCAGGAGAGCCTCGTCCTGTGTCCGCCGTGCAAGTCCGAGACCGGCGGTCCGTGGACCCACCTGCTGCGAGGACCGCCCGGCTAGACACATAACAAAGCCCTCCTGCTGAGTCTCCTCGTGTTCACCATGCCTGGTCCAGTAGTTATCGGGCACGTCGGCTTTGGTGACATCCAGGCGGGGGTCGACTGCGTAAGTATGCGACACCCCCAAAAAGTCCATAGCTTGCTCGAGGCTCGCGTTGAGTCCAAACCATGGTGCATGTAGGTCTGACACAAAATTGCGCTCTTCTCGTACAGAATGCACGAGGCTCATAGCTATTCCAGCTAGACGCGCTTCGTTAGGCCCACAGCCACCTAGGTGGCTGGACTGCGGGCCTTGCCAGGGGGCTGCGCTGGCGCTGCCTTGGCTTCCTTGTCGTTGTCCTTGTCGTCGAGGGTGAGATCGATCTGTTCGGACTTTCTCCTTGGTGTCCTGGACCCGTCGCGCCTCGCCGCCGCGACTTGATCCTGGACTTGCTTTTGGATCGCCTGCAGCTGTAGCTGCATTTGCTCCCTGCTTGCCTGCTGCTTCTTGCGCTCGGCCTGGATCTGCTGCTCGTCCTCGATGGCCTGGTCTATCGCCTCGTCCTCGGCGTTCATGCGATCGTCCTCGGTTTCCGCCTCGTGGCGTTCTGTGGCGGAGTGGCGGGCCAACTCGGCCCTGGCCCTGTGCAGAGTCTCGCCCCATTGGATCTCCTTGGCCGAGAAGTCTTCCAGCACCTGGCCCTGCTCTTCCATCTGGGTGGTGAGCAGCTGCACCACTGATTCCATGTATGCTGACCATTGATCCAGATACTGAATCCTCTGTGTCTTGATCTTGGCCAACTCCCGCCTGGCATTGGCTTGCGTTGCCACCGCCCTGTGGAGCGCCTTTGCTGCTCCTTGTGTGCTTTCTGCTTGCATCTTGTCCAAGAGTGCAAGCGTCTCGGGCGGTATGGCTCCACGGTTCGCCGCCAAGGATTGTACCAGCAAGTCCAGCTGCTGACGCTCTTGCGAAGCAGCCGCCGCTGTTGGTGTAAAGGCCTTGGGCGTTGTCAGCGAGGGCGTAGTCGGGGCTGCCGGCAGAGCGGCCGTCGACGGCGCGGATCTCTGTGCCGTCTCGGCCCGCTCGGTCTGTCTGCTCTGCGGCTTCCCTTTCGTCTGATCGCCTTTGCCCCTGCCTTTGCCACGTCGCCTCGGAGAAGCGTCGGAGCGCCTCCTCGGGGAAACTGGCCACTGGTTGCTCCCATAGCTGCTGTCCTGCCAGTAGGAAGCCTGTCTGGATGCAGGCGCATCCCAACGCGCACCACACCCGCTGCAAAAGCTTGCGTTGGCCTTGCACCAGCGGCTGCAGCTGTGGCATTGCCATGACTGCCCTGTTGCTTTCATAGCTCGTAGCAGTCTGGTTGCTTGCTGTGGCAGGCTGCTCGCAGAGTGGTGCGAAGAGAGCCTGCCAATCGCTCTCCTCACCAAAACCTCCGGCACTGCCCCGCCGCTGTTGAAGATCCTCAACCTGTGACGGTCGTTGAGGCGCACCCGCCTGGCTCGTCGGTGCCAAGCTGGTTCGCGCGTCACTGTAGGCGACCACAATGTAACTGAGAAGTACACAGAGGGCCGCGGTGTTCATAAAAGCCAGCGACACTCCGGTCGGGCAATGAAAAAAAGCCAGCGACACACAGGTCGGGCAGTGGTTCCTCGCAAGGCGTACAGAACCAGATGAATCCAGCCACACAAAGGTGGGGAAAAGATGGCGAGGGGGTTAAGGCAAGTCCGATGCCGCTCTTGCGGACGCAAAGGACTGCGTGGTCCGCGGGCTTGCGAAAAGCCACGCGATAGGGTCTTAGCACAGGAGGGTGTGGACTCGTACCGAGAAACTACACGACCCTCCTGAAGCCAAACGCCTAGGGTTTAGGGTTTAGGGTTTAGGGTTAACCCTAAACCCTAAACCCTAATTCCACAATGGTAGTAAAAATGGAGCCTCTGGCCTAAAGACTCGAAGGGGGCCAGACCTTAGCCTGGACATCCTGTGAAGTCAAGGGTTCATCGAGCGGAGGAGGGCGTGCATCCCTAGCCCCCAAACTCCCCAAACCGCCAAACCCCCTAAACCCTAAACCACAAAAGACCCTAAGCCCCAAACCCTTAAGCTCTAAACCCAAACCCCTTAACCCCAAACCCCCAAACCCCCCCTCCCTCCCAAAAAAAAAATCTAAACCCCCAAGCCCTTAAACCCTAACCCCAAACCCCTAAACCTTTAACCCCAAACCCCCAAACCCTCCCAAGCCCATGCAGGATGCGACCACTTTTGCCGCCTCGTCACCGCCCACAACCTCGACTCCGAGCCTGCGGCAGATGGGAAGCAAAGCAGATTAGGGTTTAGGGTT